AGTGTGAGTTCTCATGTGTGTCTTCCGATTATTTGATTGTGCGAAGGCGGCATCACACAGTTCGCACTTGTACGGTTTCTCTTGAGTGTGAGTTCTCATGTGTGTCTTCAAAGCACTCGAATCCGAGAAGGCAGCATCACATAGGTTTCTCTCCGGTGTGAGTTCTCGTGTGTGTCTTCAGTGTACCCGATTGTGCAAAGGTAGCATCACACAGATCGCACTTATATGGTTTCTCTCCGGTGTGAGTTCTCATGTGTGTCTTCAGCTTAGCCGATTGTGCAAAGGTAGCATCACACAGATCGCACTTATACGGTTTCTCTCCCGTGTGGGTTCTCATGTGTGTCTTCAGATTACCCGATTTTGTGAAGGCGGCAGCACACAGATCGCACTTATACGGTTTCACTCCCGTGTGGGTTCTCATGTGTGTCTTCAGATTACTTGATTGTGCGAAGGCGGCATCACACAGTTTGCACTTGTACGGTTTCTCTCCCGTGTGAGTTCTCATGTGTGTCTTCAGGTGACCCGAGTGTGCAAAGGTAGCATCACACAGCGCGCACTTATACGGTTTCTCTTCCGTATGACTTCTCATATGTACCTTCGCACTACTCAGGCAGGAGAAGGCAGCATCACACAGATCGCACTTATACGGTTTCATTCCTGTGTGAGTTCTCATGTGTCTCTTCACACTACTCAGAAATGAGAAGGCAGCATCACACAACTCGCACTCATATGGATTTGTCCCGGAATTAATTCTCACGTACTCCATCGTGCTTCAGGCAAAGCTGCCACGTACTGGTCACACAGGTCAGATATGTCTACTCTGTCTGGCGTTTAAGTTACGACCACGTGTTTTGCTTCGAAGACAGCCTCGTCTCACTTGTAGAATTCACGTCTTATATATAGGCTCTCCTACAAATTAGTAAAGAGAATAGAAATCAATGCATTGAACACCGCGTATTGATGTAGAACAAAAACGCGCCTTGTTTATGTTTGCAATATAACTGTTTATTCTGAACATCGAATTAATATCATCTAAACATCACGCGTCATTTAACGACTGTAAGGGCATGCACATAATATATCACGAAACTAAATATACTCAATTAATATAAGAAACATCCGTTTACCCAATGAAGTCACTGAACGTCCGTGTGATGTTTTCGTATTAGACTGATGTTACAAAAGTCAATGGTGTGATTATATACCTGCTGTTATGATGAAACCGGTCTGATATCTTGACATCCGGGTAACCGGTCTGATCTCCTGATACCAGGACACCAGGTGGTCGCTTTCCCTAAGTAATTGCAAAAGCAACTATGCACCTCGCCCACAAACATTGCTGTAAAACTATCTTGTGGTCTCTCCTGGGCTTGGTGCGTAAGTGTCATCCACACTGTGCAGGGATGTTGACTGTTGACAGTTATATCTACAAAAGCAGGATTAACCAGCCTTATAAACAAACACTAACAACAAATCACCGTATACATAATATTCTTACGTACACCAAGCAATCCCGCATCTCTGACCTCTTGAAGTCTCGCCTCTTTATAGCACCCTGCAACCCGTTCTAATGCATCTCATTTCATGTGTATTAAACAATGCTTGGCAACACCTACAAACCATATTTTACAACTGCGTAAGTAATTAAGATCCTGGAGTATAAGAGTGTTTTTACGCCTTATAATTGCTGATTAAGCGATGGCTATAATGATGGGATATAGCGTAGCTCACTCTTAAAAGCTCGCTCGGCTGTTGGTATGCCACCTAGTCTTCCCTATCGACATAAAATCAGTTCATATATCAAAGCGTCACATTTTCATTGTATAATATCTTAAACCCATCGCTTGCACGGTGTCGTTATACACTGTATATTCCCTTTACAGTAAGTTACTATGTAGATTTCGCTTATGAAGAAGAAGCTCTAGTTGGTCAGTGTTTCACAATTAGCATCACATCTAACTAAATCACAACTAACACAGTTGAATATAGTGTGTAACGTCAACTAACATAATGTGCACAAACGTATTTAAAAAAACGTCACTCAATAGAATGTCCATGTTTCTTATTTGATATTCTGGCTTGATATCTCTCTCGTGCATACCTGATTTGTTATGTTGTTGTACCAGACGTTGCTCAGGGGAAAACGCCTAAGGACAGCTAGGAAAGAAAATCCCGAAACATATAATTACTTAAATCTTAGGATATAACAGAGACACAAAGACTCGTAACAGAAAAACGAAATATGAAGGGATTAAACAATATTCTGACAAAAACGGTTCAACATATTCTATGATTTTATGTTGTCAAAGGATCCTGAATATACATTGTGTAGAACATGCCGAAAGTTATTATGAATATGCTTGTTTTGGTTCTGCATCAAAGTTGGTTAGTTTCATAACGTTGAAATTGATATTTTCGGGAAAAATCCCACGAGCGTGTGACAATTTTCTTTCGCAAAAGTACGTATTTATTATAAGTATAGCAATCGTCATTGCACAGCAATGACATGGATGCGATTGGTTGAAAACTGTTTTGACGTGCCCAGTACAATCGCGTTTCTGCGAGCAAACGGACTGCTGTAATGTGGCATGCAATTAGCAGCAAATGGTAGAACGGCAACTGAGGTGTAAAGACGGCATTTGGTGGAGATGCCGTAGAGTGAAAAACATTCCTGCAGAATCTGAATAATTTAACTGATATACTTTTAAACAAGATTGGAAGAATTGTCGAAAAGCACTAGTGTGGACTGAAATGACTTGTGCGCTGCAATCAAAAATTCGTTTTAAAATATTGTTATTGAAGAGCGACGAATCCGACTTAGGATGTGCGGAGGGTCATGCGGCCACCTCTGCCTTAAAAATTATTTCATCGTGTTATATTATTATGATATTAGGGAACATTCATCAAATCAATTTATATTCGAAACATGAATCGAATTTAAAACAGTTATTACTTTACTGGTGATATAATTATTTGCAATTGATACACGAGACAGTTAATCACGCATTCATGAAACAAAATACACATTTATAAATGCCTGCTATGAAATTGTTGTTACTCAAAATAACACAAGTTGTTGCTGTTGTCGACTATTTGCTTTTGCTATCAATGACTTACAACGAAGCATTCGCTGTGACTAATTATAGCGCATTCAATGTGTGGATATCAATATATGCTGTAGTAGAATATACACACCTTATAGCGGATAGCATTGATGAATGCTATCACATATATACACGGTGGAACGCGTCGACCCCACCGAACCGTAAGCGCCACGGATATTCGTGCTAATATGTGGTCGGCAATGCCAGTGATGTTTGATGTATGATTGTTGTGAAATGCAAAACCGCCAATTAACAATTTGTTTATGCTATGTAGGAATTAGCATTTGCCTGTGGTGCATTCGGTTCACTTGCGACCACATATTTTCTACGGGTTGTGTGTGCGCTCCGGCGACAGGGTCGACGGAATTGCGGCTATGGTTGACTGTTAGGTGGGCGTACCCAGCATTGATGTTTCCTAGCTGGTGGTACGCCCTCCATTCGTCGCTCACAACCGCCGCTCCACCACTGCAGACTAAAAACTGTGATTAATTATTGTTGTTCGCCATATAAATAATTAGCAGGTAAATACAAAATTACCACGGTCGCAAACTATTACCTAATTGTAAAATTCCTATACTATACACGTACATACAATATTATACAAAATCACATTTATTAATTTTTAACGAATCATAGATGAGAGTTATGAAAACTGTATCTTAGCGTACGTGCTGCAGGCAGAGGTAAAGAAGCGTGGCCGCATTCTTGGTGGCAACGGGCGACAGGAACCCTTCCTTGGTGCCGCGGTCGACACCGCCGAAGACCGACTATATATATATATAACCTGCCAACATGGAATCAACGTGAGGCTATCCCTAGCCAGACGACCCAGGGTAGCGAGCATTTCGATTCACTTTTTAAATATTATATTATTACGCTATATATATACGCCTATAGAGAGAGAGAGAGAAAGAAAGAGAGAGAGAGCGCGAAAGAGAGAGCGAAACAGACAGAGAGAGAGAGGGGGCGAGAAAGATAGAGAGGGAGAGAGAGGGAAGAGGGAGAGCTGTGTTTAGATATATAAATTATTTCAGGGACTTAAGCTGAGCAAATTCCTATGTGGAGAAATTTGTTCTAGAAATATAAATCTCACGTTGGATAGGCTTGCGCTGAAAAGATATAATTGTAGTTTTGCAGTTTGCATTTGTTTACGTAAATTGTAATTTTGTTTCCTCATTTATCATGTTTATTTTTGGGGTTACTTATACAAAATTTTAAAAAAATACAAAATTTAATTATACAAAATTAATGCCTCAGATTATTATCTAATTTTGTTGTAAAATCTAAAGGGTGCCAGCCGACCTACTTTCCCCACCAGGTCCTACGGCCATGGAGTTGCTACTTTTTCCTCGCGCGTACACGGTGCTCAAATATCATTCAGAAACTAATTTAAAACTTGATTGATTCACATAGTTCGACTAATAAAAGCAATAGCACAGGTAGCAGCAGTAACAGCAGAAGCAAGTATGTGTTGCAGAAGCAGCAGCAGCAGCAAAAGGAGTAGCAGTAGCAGTAACAGAAGCAGCAGCAGTAGCAACAGAAGCAGAAGCAGGAGCAGCAGCAGCAGCAGCTAGTACCAAAATGAGTAGCAGTAGCAGAAGCAGCAGCAGTAGAAGCAGCAGCAATGAAATTTAAGTGCAAATAACGGAAACAAAAGACGGGTATCTTCAATACATTGTTATATTTTACTCTAAATTGACAAATTTGTTACATGTGTTATCATTGAACTTTTATGTTTTAATTCTTTGGTTATCGTTTATTTTATGGGGATTTGTTTAAAACGAACTATCGTTATAACGTGCTGGATCTTAAGGTCCTTGTAGGTAGGTTGTAACGAAGTTCGATAGATTTGGGTTCGGATTGGAATTTGTGTAATAATGATTATTGGCACCAGAACATTCTGTCTTTCGACTGACCTCTACTTCTACGGCTTTCTCGTGATAGGAGGCGAAACGTCAGCTGTACGTTTTCAATCTTCACGGTTGAGTAACAATTAACCCAGATATAGATCTACATAATGACAGGAGTATCGTAATAGAAACACGTCTCGTATTCTGTATTATGACACTCCTGATATATACGACTGCGCAAGATGGCGGCGGTGGCGCCAGATTTCGAAATAACGCCTTGGGAAATAAATTCACGATTTGAGAGTTTAGATGAGCTAGAACCCTAACCATAACTCTAAACCTAACCCTAACCCTAACCCTAAACCTAACCCTAATCCTAACCCTAACGCCAAAAAAGGGCTTCAACGACCGACGGCTACCGTACCTCCAGCCACTGCGTATAAGAAACCGTTCTCTATAGACCCGACGATCCATAGTTGTATTGCTAATAACATGAATAACGTTAATAACGTTATCATGTTATTGTTCGTTGTGTAGGCTCAGCGGTTATTACTATTAGCGATAATCTATTGAATATTGTTGAAAGGGTTAGGGTTAGGGCCGGTTAGGGAGTAGGGCGTAGACTACGGTGGTTTCTGGGATAGCCCTAGAGATTTTACGCATTTGCCGACGGTCCGTCGAATAGACAGTAGCAACATACACACCCGACGGTCGGGCAAATAGCCTCGGCCGTCAAATTACGCGCGGCCGTTACAGTAAATGAGTAATACTGCGAGCATCGGACACCTGTTCGTATGCGCTATTCGTCCGCGCAAGCGTCCGTGCAAACTCAGGATATGGGGGTGTAAACGCTACTCTGAGCGGTAGTAGTACAAAAGTACCTATACTCACTCGCCTATTATTTTAACAAGTGTTGCGGAGCGACAGCGCTCATCTCACGTCTACTGCGGTGACTCTGTGGTGGAGTGGTGGGATTCTAGTAAACCCTGTTAGTCCCAAATGTGTTCACATATGCGCCGAAACAGTGGAAGGCACATGGATGGTATCAGGAACCTTCTCGAAGGAATGTTTGTTGGGATCGTTATGAAAGTTGCCACGAGATGGCGCGTACGTTTAAGTGTCTTAAGCTTAAAGATGGAAGCTCCCATCGTACGTAGTAGCAACAACTATTTGCAAGACAGAATAGGTAAGCACTCATCCATTTACCTACGCAAGCCTACAGGCTGAAATAGAGAGCTGCCACTTGTAACTAATTAACGCAGGCAAAAACCACACAGTACTATCACCACCACATGCACTGGCAGTGGCATAAGTTACATGTAACACACTGACAGTACATAATGCCATAGAAATTATACGATTTAAAGAGCATAAACCTTCTTCAACCAAATTTAGCTTTTGAAATTTTATTGTGACACTGTAGCCTCATACATCCAGGCATGTATAGATTCTACTAGCAAACCCGGCAGTCAAATTCTTTCTAACAGTAAACAAATCCATGTTTAATCCTCCTCTTGAGGGTCAAAAGGTTATCCACTTACTCTTCGCATGTCAGCGGAAAGTACATTTCATGGTCCTTTCAATAAATCCATAAAAATGGTAGGTCACCGCTGAAACAAAAAAGTTTTTCAATCGCTTCGTCAGACCATCAGAAAATGTCTAAAATCTGCCCTGTGCCCCATTGACCTGTGACCTGGGACCTCCAATTTTGGCACAGTGATGGCTTTTCCTACCATGATGCTATACACAGACTATCATGAGCCTAGGTCGAGCCGTTTAGATTCGTACCGCAATTCTGCATTTCCTCCCTATACCTTACGGACAGCCAGATGGACGGACAATCATGCGATTCTACAAGCTGCACCTGACTACGTCAGATGAGCTAATAATAGCTTTCTGTAAATGCCGTTGAAATGCTATAATTATAGCTAGAAGAATATGCTAGAAATATAGAAATATAGCTATAGGGCTCGAATTATAGAGATTTTGGTGTAACTGTAAGTGCACAGCGGCGTGCGCGCGGTGGACTTGTGACTTGTGTGTGTTGCAGAGGAGCAAAGCTGAAATGACGATAGCTCTAGTACTATAGCCCGCGTACAGTTGCCGCAGGCCTGTAGGCGTAGCCTGCGGCAACTGTACTCAGGCTATAGTACTAACGCTCAGAGTAGCGTTTAAACCCCCATATCGTGACTTTCGTGAATGTGCGTTCACACTCTTAAAAATTAACAGAGGTCTTCTTGAGGGTGTTGTCTAATAAGTTCTAGCAAGAAATCTGTCATTTGTTGTCAGAAAGGCGGGACAAAACGTCGTTTAACTGAGGGTACTCGCCTTGTATTGACTGTTTCTCACGATTTCAACGTTAATTTCGCACCCTGACTCGGTACGTGTAATTTTTACACGTGTAATATTAGTGCAGCACAGACAAAACCACGACAACATTGAATTCATCTGCTTTTTACGCAGGTATCTTACGTTTTGAAGACAGAATGTCGGAAAGCGTCACGATGAGCCACGTCACGAACGTCCCCCGTGTGACGGACGGTCCCCGCGGCAGCGCGACGGACGTCCCGCGCTACGTGTGCGACGTGTGCGGTGAGGAGTGCACGAGCGAAGCGGACGCGCTCTCGCACGTGCAGGCCGCCCACATCGAGTCCTCCCTCAGCTGCCCGTTCTGCGAGCTGGCAGACGTCGCGCTCGAAGAGCTGAGCCTCCACATCGCCCACTGCCACCCAGAGGGCGCCGTTGTCTCGAGGGCGGGTGACGCAGCGCTGCGGTGTCCTCTCTGTGGAGTAAGTGACGCGTCACCGACGCGGCTACAGCTGCACGTCAATAGAGCGCACCTGGACGCCACGAGTCCGGGCAGAGCTCGCGTCTACCCTGCTCCGCCAGCGGCCGCAAGAGAGGGCGCCGCCGGTGCGTCGGCGAGAGAGGGTGCCGCCGGTGTGTCGGCGAGAGAGGGCGCCGCCGGTGCGTTGGCGAGAGAGCGCGCCGCCGGGGCGTCCGCGAGAGAGGGCGTCGCCGAGGTGTCCGCGTCAGAGGGCGTCACCGAGGCGTCCGCGAGAGAGGGCGCCGCTGAGGCCGATCGTCATCGGGCGGTGGCATGCCCGTTCTGCGGGTTGGAGTGCGAGAGCGCAGCACAGGCGCAGGACCACATCCACGCGCGTCACATCGACGCCAGCGAGGATTCGCACTCCCTGCCGACGCCTCCGATCGCTTTCCCTCGCGACGCCGGCGGAGACCCCAACGGTGGCTCCTTCACGCTCGCTCGAGCGTCGTGCGATGACCGGGATTCTCGGACGTCGATCGCTGCTCGTCTCCGGCGCAAACATGTGTTCGCTCGCGCGACGGGAGACGCCGACATTGCGAGCGGAGCTTCGAAGACCGCTCGCGTGTCCGCCGTCGCTTCCACGTGCGACCGGCGGACGGGGCGCGACCGCCAGAAGGTGGCAAGACTTGTGAACGACAGCGGCGGGGGAGACTTCTGTGGGAGCACGATCGCTGCGCCGCTCGTTAGCGCCGAGGACGAGCGATGCTGCACGCGGGGTCTCGTCGAGCGACTACGCGCGCGCATCCCGGCGCTGCTCCTCTGCGCGACCGCCGCACACTTTGCGTCGACGGCGGCCGACCGCGGCTGGGCGTGCGGCTACAGGAATGCTCAGATGTTGCTGTCGTCGGTCACGACTTCCACGCGGCGACGGGCGCCGGCGGCACGCACCCGCTACTCGTAGACTACGTACAGCGCCACTTCGCCGCCGCGACGGAGGAGGGTCGGTTCGTGCCGCCGCTGTACCTGCAGCATAGCGGTCACAGCCGGACGGTGGTGGGCTGCGAGCGGCGATCGGACGGCGGCGTCCACTTGCTCGTGTTCGACCCGAGCGCGAGCGCGGAGTCGGTGCGTCGCGCCGCGAGCAGCGCCCCCTCGCTGCTCAACCTTACCTCGCGGTGGACTCCGAGGGACTGTATACATACCGAAGACAGAGCGAGCGAGGGTCGATCATATCGATACATTGGCAGTGTATATATACTAAAAACTGTAAGAGTGAGTCGATCCTATCGATTCATCGGCCCTGTATACGAACGCTTTCAATCGATTGGTGCTTCGGGTTTTTATAGATATGATTACATATCTGCTTGAATGCTATCGACCTATGTCATGCATAGGATGATAGGGTGTATTATATCATTAATTATTTTCTGATACATATATTCATGATTGTATTATATATTTTATTTCCCATTGCTTTTATATAAATATGTCTAAACAATGTTTAAATAAATTTTAATATCGCAATCATATTATTTTACTGTTATCGATATTTTTCCAGGGTTCAAAAATTAAGCATGGAATTGTGCTAATTGTGACTATAAGTTCATAACAACCTCAAACTCCCCTCACTACAGGTGGCGTACAGCAGTAAGCCTCCGCAATTGTTCACCGCAATTGTGCACTATTTCGTCTCTAGAAAATGCCTTTTTTGGCATTTTTTTTTCGCCGAAATTCAGCAGCATTAGAAGTCACAGCGACCGGTTGGTCATTTTTGTGTTTGAAATGTAGTCAGACAACTTTGTAGAAATTCGCATCATAGAGCTGGCAAAAGTTTTGAGCGGAGCATAGAGCATGAATCTGTAGTTATTTAACATGAATAAAGTGTATGTTGTGTAAGCAAAGTAACAGTGTGAGTATTTTTAATTAATATCTGTTTGATGCTTATTCAGGCCTGCTGCCTATGGACGCCATCTACTGTTGTTCACCACCTACAACATTTAGCGATCGGTCTTTTTCGCTGTAAATCCATGATTTTCCAGCCACTTTAAATTCTAATGAATGTCAGAGTATATTATAACAATATAGGACTCTATAAATGCTCTCTATATAACTTACATGTAATGTGCGCAGAGAGCTCGTTTACATACAGTGATACACTGCTCGCTTGTGTTTTTAAATTTTGACCTTGAATGTATAAACTGTTAAGTTTTCTAGCATCATGCCTAAAACTTAAAAGGTTAGTCGTGACCCACGATTGAATCTCTCCAGCAACAGATCTAATCCAAACAGTTGGAGTAGAAGAAGTTTAATTTTACTGCAAACAGATCTATTATGGTCTCCTGTATGCCTGGTGAAAAGTCTAGGGTTTGAAATCTAGAAGAAGTGAGGCATATATAATTTATTTACAATTGCAATTTTCAGCACTACTATGTGCATATAAATTTATATGAATGCACACACACAGATACATACTACCAGGGGTTAATAATGACAAATGTTTGCCATTATTAACCCCTGATAATACTGTACTCATATCTATGTATACATGATCAATAATACCAACCTGTAACACAGTGTTCTGTCTTTGACGGTAGACATTGATATTATGAATCATAATGCGTTTTATTAGATCAGTGTTCAAACGTACAGTTATTTACAAAAGGTTAGGCCACAGGTTAATTATAGATTCAAAACACCGAAAAAATCACAAACATAACACAGTCCGGTTGTATACCTTAAAGATTTGAAGACTTGTTCAATTCATTCCTAGTCCAGCTTCCACTTTAGAAAGAAACTGTAACAGTTAACTGTCCTCCTCCTGCTCTCCTCCTCTCCTCCTCTCCTCCTCCACCTTCTTCCCCCTCCTCCTCCTTCTCCACCTTCTCCCGCCTCCTCCTCCTTCACCACGTTCTCCCCATATTCTCCCTCTCCTCCTCCTCCACCTCATTACGTATTTACGGTAATCTTAACGATGTTGAACTGTTGTAAAATAAATCAATAAGCCAAGCAAAATCGCCGCTTACAGTTTTTTTTGCTTACCGGAAGCAATTATTTTTGTATTTTCCGTGTAAAGAAAGTAGGTATAGAGTTTCTCCAGATGAAAATAGTGGTGCTTTAATTTTACTGAATGTCATGATAAACGTACGTGGGCATGATCGATCATTACAAACGTTCTGAATACCAAACAGATTAGGATTATGCATTACCGGGGACCGAAACCTGGGTTCATTATCAGTTATCAATATTATAAATTATTAATAATTCCATTATAGGTTATTGGTCAATTGGCTACTAGTACTATGACTACTGCTTTTCTTGTTTCTTACCAAAAAATATAGCATAACTAAAAATATGCAACGCCACCATTTTGAAATGAGCCTCTTTGCTAACGATATTATTAGCTAATACTCATTACTCTTTGTTCGCACTATATTGATATTAATCCCAATTACATCTATAGTAACAGATAGTCACACACTGCGCATAATAATGTGGTTTCAGAATTAACACAGTAACAAATTTTATTAAATTACATTTACAATGTAATAGAGTAATGTTTTACCTCGTGCATCTATACGTAACATAGTTGAGTTTGCAGTGTTCGCGAGTTAACACTTTAATTAACTTAATTAAAATCGTGTTTCTTCTAATATTGTGTGCAGTGTTTCTTTCCGTCCTGACCTCGGTGGTTCCTCACTCGCGCGCTTCTGTCTGTAGTTAATGCAGAGGGCGCCACCTTGCAAGACTCCACTCACGATACATGAGATTCCAGAAAGGATAAAGACGGGTCTCAGGTCGCCAGTGTAGCGGTCCATGAGAAAACCTGCGGCAAAATCCATGTTCACGTTACTCTATTTCCAAGAGTCTATTTTAAAATTATAAATTCAATAGGAGTCAAATTTCTAAGAGATAAGATCATCCTATCACCTATTAAGAGTCTATTACAAAGATCTATCACTCGTCATAATCCTGAAGCCTTAGATTAGCCTATCAATAGGTTATATCGCGTTTACTACAGCTATATGTGTTTACCGGCTGCCACTGGTCCAGTCAAAATGCCTATGCCGCCAAATAGTGCGAAGATAGATGAAACCATTGGTAGATTCTGTATGCCGAATAGGTCTACTAATATAGGTGTCTGCATGCTCACTCGTACGCCATAGCTAGTTCCGTACAGCACACAGCAAAGTGCAAACGCCCACACCGTCTCCGCACGCAGAAACATGAGGCTGATGATGGCGTCAACAAATGGTGTGAAGCCGAGGACCAGATGACGTGGGAACCATCGCCTGTCTCCTACGGCTGCCACTAGGAAGCGGCTGATGGCATTGCTAACTTGCAGTACGGTCAGCATTTGACTAGCAAGCGTAAGACTCATGCCCCGCCTGGTGCCAAGTAGAACGCAGTACGTGGTCAGTGTGGACCCCCCAATTACATACGCAAGATTATTCAAGCAGTAAGCGCCGAATTTTATTTTATCGGCGATTGCCATCCCGAGACGGGTGTTTCTGTCTTCTCTGCGCTTCTTTAGTTCTTCTTTGGCGGCTCTAGGTATACCCCGAAACATGCAGCAAGCTGTACTTACAGTTTTGTAAGATACATGGCCACTAGAATGAAAATCGTTCATGCCAGGTGTTACATCTGTAGTGAGGACGACACAGTAGAGCGACGCTCAGCGATCAACTGCTGATGTTGCGCTGTATGAGCCCGTTGCGGGAGAGCTTTCTTTTCGAAGTAAAATGCGCGATTATCTGTGAGGGTGAGTGGATCATTGACATGCAAACCCTTGCGAAAAACAGATTGTCTAGCAATACAGGTTTGTTAATAAGCACAGATGTCTCACTTTTGAATATCCACTGACCATTAATATTAAAAATGCTATATAATGAGCATAATCTGTAAGCCAAGCATATATACCTAATTTCATTAAAATGACAATAGTGTCGATCGTTAGAATATTATATATATATATATATATATTATATATATATATATATAGGGATAGTATAGTTAGGATAAATGGATAAATATAACATAGATAGATAGATAGATAGATAGATAGATAGATAGATAGATAGATAGATAGATAGATAGATAGATAGATAGATAGATAGATAGATAGATAGATAGATAGATAGATTAGATAGATAGTAGAAGTAGAAGTAGATAGATAGATAGATAGATTAGATTAGATAGATAGATAGATAGATAGATAGATAGATAAAGATAGATTAGATAGGATAGATAGATAGATGATAGATAGATAGATAGATAGTATAGATAGGATATATAAATAGATAGATAGATAAATAGATAGATAGGTTAATCAAATATACAACACACACAAATATATATATATATATATATATATATATATTTATTTATTTACATGTGAGCAGTAAACATTATCAAAGAGATAAAGATTTGAGGTTATTTACTCCTGATAGATGTGTATAGTATTTACAGTGAACGATAGTTGTTGGATTACTTTCATTTATATATTTGCAATGCGATGAGATTTTGCTCTCAGCTCTGTATATGCTTTCTTTGAAATATCCACCATTCTCGCTCATGTCCTCACTCACCTGTCAGTTAGAGTATGCCGCCGATCAGTACATATATGTTTTCTGCTCCGTAGCTGAGACACATTCCGAACGCAGCCAGCATCCCTCCTGTCATCACTATCCCACGGTAGCTGTACTCCTCAGCCAGCCGGGCGAACACAGGACCTGATCGCAAGGGTAGAGATATGAGAATACGATAAAAAATCTATAGGATTTGTCTTCTGTTTATTTCACTCGCTCTCTCTCTCTCTCTCTCTCTCTCTCTCTCTCCCTCTCTCTCTCTTCCCTTCTCGCTCTCTCACCCTCTCCTCTCTCTCTCTCTTCTGTCTCTTTCTCACACACACATACACACACTGACACACACATACATTCGCACTCCCTCGCTCCTCACATCTCT